TGTGTGTGTGTGTGTGTGTGTGTGTGTGTGTGTGTGTGTGTGTGTGTGTGTGTGTGTTGTATGAATGTGTCTGTGTCTATGTGGTTGTGTGCAGGTGTATGTGTGCATGTCCATGCAGAGGCCAGAGGTTGGCATCAAGAATCTTCCCCAGTCACTCTCCACCTTGGCTTAACTGAACAGCCCACTCTATGTATCCATAGTCTGTGTACCTCCAGCATTAGTCATACAGGTGAACTCAGCTTGTTGGCGCATGCTGGATATGAACTTGGGTCTTAAAGCTTTCGTAACAAGCACTTTACTGATGGAACTGACTGTAGTCCCTCTCTGTTTCTTCAACTGGAGATAGGCGCCTCTCTGGGAAGGACCCATTCATTTTTCAGTGAAACTCCCACCAGCCGAAAGCGCGGAAGCTGCTAACCCACCCATGCTGGCAGGCACCCGTCACTGTTCCCCACCTCGGGCTTCCCTCTCTGTCAGTTTCCATGACTTCCGGGTCCGACCTCTGCTGCTCTCTTGACTTTTTATCTCTCTGCTTTGTTCTCTCAGGCTGCTGAGTCTTTTCTAGCTATCCAAGGTCAATATTAGGACTTGTGAGGTCTACCGTAGAACTCAGAGAAGCCCTGGATATTGGGTGTGGCCAGGAAGTCTGTGTTTTCTCATCCACTCAGCAGATGGCTGCTGAGCTCCTTGTGTATACCAGCTCTGAGCCTTTCCTTGGGGGCACCTGACAGTTTAATGGGTAAGAGTCTTCTGTGTGATTGGGATCTATTGTTTTTAATTAAAAGGTTGGTCCAGGTGCCTGTTGAATCTGGAACAATCTGGAACCATGGGCTCGATTCCAGGAAGCCAAGGTTTTATTGCGACCACATTTCAAAGTTTAATTATGGGGCCTTATCTTGCCTGGTGTTCATTTTAGTGGATGCTGAGTGGAAGCACAAGGGTAAAGTGCTTACTCAGTCCTTCTTCATTTCTTAATTCAGAAGTCCGTGTGGCGTTAGGTAATCACTCGATTTCTCCAATCTTAACAGCTCCTGCAATTATTACACAAAGAAAGCCACGCCGTGTGTGGTGACTTAATGACTCATGCTCGTGTCTATTTTCAATTAATGTAATAGAAAAGGCACTAGGCTGATGCTCATCAGTTTAAACAAGCCACTCAGTTTCTTTCTTTTTTTTTCTTTCTTTTTTATTTATTTATTTGTTTATCTTTTTATTTATTTATTTGTTTAACCATTATTTACTGGTTTTTCGAGACAGAGTTTCTCTGTGTAGCCCTGGCTGCCCTGGAATTCACTTTATAGACCAGGCTGGCCTCAAACTCACAGAGATCCACCTGCCTCTGCCCCAAGTGCTGCAATTATTCTATAGTATAAAACACTACTAAAGATATCAGCTATTTATTGGCCTGACTTCTAGTCATTGAAACTTGACCAGATACAAAGGAAACATTTTGTAAAAAAAAAAAAAAAAACTGCAAAGCACCACAAAAGTAAGGTTTTGATTAAATTGACTGACCTACCACCCTGGGAAAGTTTGAGGACCTCAGACAAGGAGATGAATATCACAACTCAGTGTCAGGCAGAGAAAGACAAGCGAATTTAAAATGTCGGAAATTGTGCAAGAGAGGTTCTAGCTGGTTCCCCTTTACAGATGGGAAAAGAAAGTACTTAAGAAACTCTATAGCCTTCTCAAGCACAGGTTTGTAAGTGAAGAGTCTGGGCACTGCCGGGCGTGCTAGATGTCTGTTCTGAGACAGCACCTTGTTCATTTTCTCTAAAACTGCCTACTTCAGTCAGGAAGAAAATGATACATCATACTATCAAAAACACCAGAAAATGCAAAAGCCTGTATATAGTCAGGTTATGCCTAGAGGTTAAAATTGTGTGTGTGTGTGTGTGTGTGTGTGTGTGTGTGTGTGTTGAGGGTGAGGGTGAGGCTGCTTTGCAGATTTTCTGTCGTCCTCTCCTAACCAAGCTGTATCTAATACATCCACGTCTGTCTTTCAGAATCCCTTAACTTCGGAGTCAGTGAAGCAGCTCGTGGCTGAGGGTAATAAAGAAGAGCTGCAGAAATGCTTCGGGGCCCGGATGGAGTTTGGGACAGCTGGCCTGCGAGCGCCCATGGGAGCAGGGATTTCTCGAATGAATGATTTGACTATCATCCAGACCACGCAGGTACCATGATTTGGTCACTGCTGATTACTCCTGATGTATCTCCTGATGCATCTGATGGATTCAACTTGCTTTAATTATGGATGTGTTCTTGGGTCTGATGAAGTAGAGAAACCGCCCACTCTTCAATCTACAAAATGAGGCTTGTGCAGTCCTTATTTAAACATCCATTAGCTTTCTAGCCACCTTCCATCAAATGTGTTGAATGCCTACTGGTTGTCAGGCATGGTCAATTGATATGACTAAGACGGATTCCCTTGTGGAGATTTTTGTCTTATACAGAGCCGTTGACTAAAGAATGTGCCAGCCAGAAGCTGTATTGGATCGTATTAATGAGCTTTGACTCAAACAAAGTAACTTATTCCTGCTATGTTCCGTCTGTTAAAAGAGAAGGTCAGCATCACCTGGTGGGAGTATGTCTTGCCCTAGCCATCTTTGGATAATCCAGTTTGTCACACTGGTGGCTGGGAGGCCTGATTGTTAGTGTTTCTCTGGATTGCAAATTAACCTTGAGCCTTTTCGCCTGTGTTCAGCTCTATCTTATGTCCAGACATGAGGAAATGTGGCTCGGGAAGTTCTCAGAGCCCTTTGGCCCACCTTTCCCCTAGAATAATGGATCTCTTCTGAAGTGGGCCTCGGGAGTGTGAGTTAAGAGTCCTTTGAAACCATGATGAATAGATGTTTTAAACATCATCTGATTCTATCAACCACCCACTGAAGCGGTCCTTAGAAGCTCTCTATTCTGCAGTGACTAACTCATCCGTGCTGGAATGCTTTCCATGAGACATAAGGATGCTCAGGGCTGAGAAAGTTTCAGGAAAGCAACAGGTTTATCTCTGACATCTTAGGAGCCACCTCGGCATTGAAGGAGAGAGGACTTCTAGAATGGCCAGCTCTGGCTGCCACCCCAGCTGTGGGGGGTGGTCCCCGATAGAACATTGGCATGAAGCGTGCTTGGTCACATTCTCACCTTCACTGTGGCATGGACACTCCCCCTGCTGTTCTTTTGGGTACGAGGCTAAGCCTGGGGATACCTTAAAATTGCTCAGCACCCACACCCAGGAAAAGCCATAAGCTGATCTTTAGTATACAATGTACGCTAGACATTGTGTGTGTGTGTGTGTGTGTGTGTGTGTGTGCATGAAGACCAGAAGATAACTTTTGGGGGTCACTTCTCAGGCACTTTCCACCCTTTCTCTTAAGACAGGGTCTCTTACTGGCCTCGAACTCACCAAGTAGGCTAGGCTGGCTGGCCAGGGAGCCCCAGGGATCTAGGAGCTGCCTCTACCTCCCCAGTACTGGGATGGCAAGCCTGTCCCACCATACCTAACTTCTTTTTTGAAACGTGGCTTCTGGGGATTGAACTCAGATCCTCAGGCTTACGAGGCAAGCATGTAACCAACTAGCCCCACTTTGCACGCTTTCAGTTTACGTAAGTCTTATAAAAGCTCCACATGGTGCCTATTATTGCTGTTACTTTTTATAGACGTGGAAACTGAGGCATCAGAAGACTGAGGAACTTGTCTCTTTCTCGGGGGTGGCAGAGTGGAGGTCAAACCCATTTTCTGGCCCTAGAGCATACTTTACACCCTACACTGCCTCTCATCAGACCTGGGTATCAGCCACATTCTGCTGCCCTTTGGGTCTGAAATTGGGCCTGCCCCGGCTCTTCTCTGTGTTCCCATCTATACGATGGAACTTCTGAGTAAGGGGGTCTGAACCTGGAGATACTCGATTCTAGCTGTTCTGCACAGCATCTGACTTAGACAGTGAATAAGTAAATAAGCTGTTTTCATCTTCCTGTTCAGTCTGCACAATTACTGCCCCCCACACCCCATGAATGATGTGGTCCTGTGAAAGTGGGAAAGATATAATTTGGGGCTGATTTTAATATCGTATGTATGAAATATGTGCTTTCAACCCCTGGGCTGTTTTCAGGGATTTTGCCGGTACCTGGAAAAGCAGTTCAGTGACCTGAAGCAGAGGGGCGTGGTGATCAGCTTCGATGCCAGAGCTCACCCGGCCAGCGGAGGCAGCAGCAAAAGGTATTTAGGTTTTTGAGGGACTCTGGGGATGGAACCTGGAGACATCTTTCAGAAATAGATTTTTTTTTGTAATTTCTTTTATACTTTATTTTCAATCGCCATTTCAATAATTTGCCTTTTTAAAAAACATTTTTTAATTATGTGTGTGCAGGTGGATATGTGCATGTGTGTGCAGGTAGGTGCTCACAGAGGCCAGAGGCCTTGGATCCCCTGGAGCTGGAGTTACAGGCAGTTCCGAGCCTCTGTAAGAACAGTAGGGGTAGCCGGGTGTGGTGGCGCACGCCTTTAACCCCAGCATTCAGAGACAGAGGCCGGTGGATCTCTGAGTTTGAGGCCAGCCTGGTCTATGAAACTAGTAAACTAGTTTCTGTATAGCTAGGGCTGTTACACAGAAAAACCCTGACTGGAAACAGAAAGAGAGAGAGAGAGAGAGAGAGAGAGAGAGAGAGAGAGAGAGAGAGAGAGAAAGAGTACAGATTCTTAACCACTGAACCACCTCTCCAGCCCTTTGATTTTTCTTTTTTAAATAACTTGATTTTAAACCCATAATTGCAGAATTGCTTAGCTGTTAAAAATGATGATTTAGGCTGTGAGGTCAAGGCCAGCCTGGTGTGCATAGCACTTTCAAGGACAGGGATACATAGAGAAACCCTGTCTCAACAACAAACAAAAATGACGGAGTAAGATCTGCTAGTAGCTTTAAAATTTTTGATTTTATATCTAAGTTAGGAAAATTAAGTTATTTAGGTATTTAAAGTGTAGTATTTACCCCCAAGGAAAAAAACCTATCCAAACCAGCCTCTTCCCTGCCCCTTACAGGCTTCATGGCCTCTTCCTTTCTCGAACAGACACCCTTCCCAGGCTGAAGCTTGGTGACGGTCCCAGACCACAGGGACTCCTGTTTAGCTGTGGGCCGATGGCGGTGAAGATAATGATGGCCGTAGTGGTGGCAGTTTTTTGAATGCGGATTGGGTATTTACGATTTGAATCCCCCAAATGACGTAGAGAGCATTTAAAATTGACCCTCTGTATCCACCAAGATTGGTTCTAAGACAACCTCAACTCCCACACCCATAGGCGCACAAATCACCTGTCTAACCAGGCACATGGTTTGGGTAAAAGCTGTGTATCATTTCTCACGCACTCTTTCATCGTTTCAGTTTGGAAACTAGCTCTCACTAGCTCTCCCTGGTACTGAATTCATGATTCTCTTGTCTCAGTCTGATTACAGGCACACACCACCAGGCGTGGTTCCCATATCCTATAAAGCACCTCTGCATAGTGACATAGGATGCCACGGCAGCTGGACCGTTCTTTGTTGTGGGGCCCGCCCTATGCATTGTAAGGTGGTTAGGAGCTCCACTGGTCTCTACCCACTAGTTCCCATCAATTGCCAGGGGCACATCCCTCTCCCGAGCATGACAACTGACCGTGCCCGCCACATCAGAGACCCTGTGAGGGACAAAGGAGCCCAAGCAAGAACCACTGAGGTGGGCTGAGGCCGTGGTGAAAGACTTTCACGCACGCCTGCCTTACATGCTCGGTGGCCTTGGGCATGTGGCAAGGTGACCTGTGAGGCCTTTATCCTAAACAAAAGGTGGCGGGAGAGGACTTTAGAGCTGTCCTCCGCTTTGGTGTTCTGGACCAGTGTAAACAGCAGGAAAAAAAACATCCTCCTTCTTTTCCTACCATGCCCAATCTAAAGGCACGGTGGGAGGGGCCAGGGCTGCAGCTCTGTTAGAGTGCTTGCCCAGCGCGCATGCGCACATGAAGCCCTGGGTTCCACCCCAGCGTGCTTGTTCATTGCTCGCAGCCCTGACCCCAACTCTGTCCGGTTTCTGCATTTCTAGGTTTGCCCGGCTGGCTGCCACTGCATTTATCAGCCAGGGGGTTCCCGTGCATCTCTTCTCCGATATAACCCCAACCCCATTTGTGGTAAGTAACCATTTCCTTCCTTCCCAACTTCTTGTCACCGGACCTGGGGTGGGACCCTGCTGGGTTGTATGAGCCTTGGTACTGTTGGGCTTCTGCTGTTTTGGTGACAGACAATTCCTTGACGTATGCTGGGCTAACTCCTCCCTCTCTAAGGCAGTTTCACCCACATCCTAGCAATGTGCTTGTGACATGCAGCTTTCCATTCCAAATTGCTTTTCTCAAAGTCTAATAAGGGTTGGGGCTGTAGCTCAGTGGTCGCACAGGTGGAGCCCTGGGTTCAAGCTCCAGCACCAAAGGAAAAGTAAGGTGTCATTTTATTTTGTTTGACTTCTGTCTTAGTTAGGGTTTCTACTGCTGTGAAGAGACACCATGACCACAGCAACTCTTACAAAGGAAAACATTTAACTATGGTGGCTCACATACAGTGCAGAGGATTAGTTTATTATCGTCATAGCAAGAACCAAAGCAGCATGAAGGCCAACATGGTGCTGGAGAAGGGGCCGAAAGTCCTTGCATCTTGACTCACAGGCAACAGGAAGTGAACTGAGACACTGGATGTGGCTTGAGCATATAGGAAACTTCAAAGCCCACCTCCACAGTGGCACACTGCCTCCAGCAAGACCACACCTACTCCAACAAGGCCACACCTCCTAGTGGTGCCATTCCCTTTGGGGGCCATTTTCTTTCAAACCACCAAATTCTATGGATCTTTTGGCAAATTAGCAAAATGTTCATTTTTTTTTTTAATTGGTAGGTAGTTCTTTACTGCAGCTATCACAATTAGGAAATTTCTTGAGTCTAAATCTCTCAAACATTATACTACTGTGTCTTTGACAAGTTGATGTACCTACCAGCTTTAAATATGAATAAATGTAGCATGAATCTTAAAAGGTCTTATTAATAAAAACAAACCTGGAGCCAGGTATTGGGGTGAACATTGAAAGGCCAGAGAAACGGAATGAGCCACATCCAACCTCACCTCACCAATTCCTCGGCTGGTCTTGTTTCCTCAAACTGGAAGCCTCTGTGTCCTCATCTGGAATGAATCTCAGCTGAACTGCTACTAAAAGCCTAACGCAGAATGGAAGCTTGGCCAGTCTTTGTCTTCAAAGACTTTTCTGGCTCTATAAAAGAGAAGACAGAAGGAGGGGGTGCCTAGGAAATAGTGCACCTGTTTTGTGAGGATGAACATTCTGGAACTTTGGGCAGCCCGTGAGTTCCCACAATGATAAGATTATAATAATCTCTTCTTAGCCACAGGCCTGATAGTGAAAGCTACAGACAATATAAAAGTTTATACAGCTTGTGGCCTACAGTTTAATTTGTGGGTTAAGGCTATAAAGGACTAACAGCAGTAGCTGTTATATATAATAAATAATAAAACACAACAGTTGTAGTAGTATCCTGGCATGAAGTCATGTGAGTGTGGGCCCTGCTGAAAGAGTTAAGACAGAATATTCATCTTCCTGGACCACGAGGAACTGAAAGAGAGCAAAGCCACAGATGAGGGGGATGCTGTATGTTGCTTGGATGGGACACGGGATGCTGAGTGGTGTGTGTGTTATGATATTAGGGTGGTGAAGGGGGATGAGCAGGTCTAAACCATGCATATTAGGCATTTCTGTTTGATCTTTGTATACAAGGCATTTCCATTCTGGCTGATCTTTGTTAAGAACCGTCTCCTGCCCTGTCTAGCCTTACACAGTATCACATCTGAAACTCTGTGCCGGGATCATGATCACAGCCTCGCACAACCCGAAGCAGGACAATGGCTATAAGGTACGCCCCTGCCCTCTCCTCTTACACAGTGCTCTTACAAGGAGCCCCTCCCCGAAGCTGTTTGGGAGTGGGTACTCTGTACCCTGCACCTGCTAAATGCATTCCTGGCCTCTCTAGGTCTACTGGGACAATGGAGCCCAGATCATCTCGCCACACGATCGAGGCATTTCTCAAGCTATTGAAGAAAATCTAGAGCCCTGGCCTCAGGCTTGGGACGAGTCTTTGATTGACAGCAGTCCCCTGCTTCACGACCCCAGCACTTCCATCAGTAAGGACTACTTTGAAGACCTCAAAAGATACTGTTTCCACAGGTAACTGGATGGGGCTTCGCCTGGGCCAGTGTGACTCAGCTGGAGTCTATGTCTGCATTTGGTTATTCCCCTTTACTTGGTGCATACACTGTAGCTACTTGTATAAGGGCCCCAGCAGAGCTGGCCACCTTTTCTTAAAGGAACTGATAACAAATCCTTGTGACTTTGCCAGCTACATGGAGCTGGTCTTCACCCCTTAGAATTGCTGTTCTGGTATGTAAACAGCACAGGTGACCAGTCAGGGAAGCCACTTAAAGTGTTTTTTTTGTTATTGTTTTTTGTTTTTTGTTTTTTGTTTTTTTCCGAGACAGGGTTTCTCTATGTAGTTTTGGTGCCTGTCCTGGATCTCACTTTGTAGTCCAGGCTGGCCTCGAACGCCGCCGCCGCCGCCGCCGCCGCCGCCGCCGCCGCCACCACCACCCTGCTAAAATGGTTTTATTTACAAAAGCAGGTAGCCAGCCCGTGGGCCACGGTTTGAAGTGCTGTAAATATATGTGTGTGTGTGTGTGTGTGTGTGTGTGTGTGTGTGTAGTTAAACTTTCAGGGCTGGGGATGTGGTTCAGTGGGTAAGCACTTGCTGCACAGGTGTGAGGACTTAAGTTCCAATTCCCACTACCCAAGTGTGGTTACCCAATGCTGCTGTGCCCGTTTGTTCAGCCTGGGGCAATCGTGATACTCACAACCGGGCACTGAGCACGGTGGCTGTGCTATTGTTCTCCGGGAGGACTTAGGTCCCACTACCCCTCATTGTCCCTCAGCCAGACACTGAATGCCTAGGTTGTCTGGTGCTGCATTTGTTAGACAACCTGGGCCTGGCAGTTCCCGTGCGGAGCAGAGACTCCAATCCCACACTGGCTAAAAAGTCTCCCTGGACCACGGATCTGAGTTCCCAGGTCATTGAATTTTGTTTTTCTCTACAAAAGGAATCTAAAAATGTGGTTATCATTTTCCTCCCATTGGTGTGTGATGTAAACAAGATACATCTGTGGTCTTCCCCTCTGCCTCTGTCACTTAGTTTTAGAAACACAAAGGGTTAACTGGGATTTCTTTCATCACTGAAAGTAGTATGAAGTACCAACCGCTGCTCACGTATGCGCGTGCGCGCCTGTATGTATAAAATCTTGCACAGTATATAATATATATCACAGTATATGTAATAGATAATGTATATGCATTTACAAGGTTGAAGGTGATCGGCAAACTGCCCGCCAAGAATATTAGAGTAGTTGGCACCCACCGCTGCAGCCTGTGGTAATGATATAGGACCCCACGTATGACCCTGCGCTCAGCGTTATCAGAATTATCATTTCCCCCCCATTTGTGAGATGAGAGTGATAACTCATCTTCACTTATATCCCTTAATTATGAAAAGCTTTTTTTCATGTTTATTTGATGTGTCTTTGTCTTTTCTATGTATTTGCTTGTCTGCTGTCTTTAGAATACAATATATTTGTTTAGGAAAGCAGTCTTATTTATTTCAAGTACCTACATTGCTATTGTTACTTTCCAAAGTTTTTATTGAAACTCTAACAATTTTGTTAATATTTGGTTGTCCTTTAAGTTTTGGTTTCCGGGTTTTATTCATACTTTAAAAGACTCTATCCTAAGATCATAAGGGAGAAATTCTGCCTTTCGAGCTTTTGTGTTTGCATTTTGTGATGCTGAATTTTTCAGGTCACCTGTCCTTTTTGATTCTGTGTGGAGGACATAGCTTAGGTCGCTCTGAAAGGCTCACAGCTGCACCATCAACATAATTAAAGAGTCTTTCTTACAGTGCCCAGCCCTAGGTGTTTTCTAAGCCCTCCCCTCTGGAGAGCCTTGTTTCTAGCCTTTCTCATTTTCCAGTCTGTCTCATTCTAGGAGCGTGAACAAGGAGAGCGCTGTGAAGTTTGTGCACACCTCTGTCCATGGTGTGGGTCATGAGTTTGTGCAGCTGGCATTCAAGGCCTTCGACCTTGCTCCTCCAGAAGCTGTACCCCAACAGAAAGATCCAGATCCTGAGTTTCCAACTGTCAAATACCCGAATCCTGAGGAGGGTAAAGGTGTCTTGGTAACCCACTTTTGTTATCTACCTTTTGTACTCTCAACCAGTGGGTCACAACCCCTTTGGGGTCAACTGGCCCTTTCACAGGGGCCGCCTAAGACCATCAGAACACAGATATTTACATTTTGATTCATAAGAGTAGCAAAATCACAGGTATGAAGTAGCAACAAAATAATTTTATAGTTGGGGGTCACCACAGCATGAGGAACTGAATTCAAGGGTCACAACATCAGCAAAGTTGAGAACCACTGGTCTAACATTGTTACCAAGTACATTATGTTTTTGTGGGGTTTTGTTGTGCTGAAAAACATGAGTTATATCTCTGGAAATATGTATATTGGATGGTCATAAATTTCTTAAAGGAACTTTCAAACTTGACATCTTACAAGAGGCTATAAGAGCTAAAATCTAAATTATTCTTTAAATTAAATTAAAAAAAATATTTATATATTTTTATGTTATGTGAATTGGTGTTTTTTCTGCATGTATGTCTATGTGAGGGTGTTGGATCCCCATTGAGCTGGAGTTACGGACAGTTGTGAGCTGCTCTGTGGGTCCTGGGAATTGAACCTGGGTCCTCTGGAAGAGCAGCTGGTGCTCTTAATTGCAGAGCCATCTTTCCAGCTCAAATTAAATTAAATTTTAATTGACAGTTCCTTTATTGCCAAGGAGTAATAATAATAGGATGGTGAGGGGTTTTTTTTAATTTTATTATTTATTGTTAAAGAATATTATTGACATAATGGCTCACAAACCATTCTGAAAGGTTAGATAATAATAATACAGAGAGAGTTCATTTGGTCTAGTTTGTGTGGCCAGACACACACAGTGCCTAGAAATGCCAGTCCAGCCACAAGGCTGCCACAGTTGTATGCGGTCACAGGGCAGGGATGGGCTGTACATTGGAACGCTCATCATCTGACCTCTAATCTAGAAAGATAAAATAAAATCTGACTGAGCAAAACCAGCTCCAGGGGGAAAAATCAGAAAACAAAACAACACCAACAAAACCCTGCAGCTAGCTGGGCGGTGGTGGCGCACGCCTTTGATCGCACCACTCGGGAGGCAGAGGCAGGTGGATCTCTGTGAGTTCGAGGCCAGCCTGGGCTACAGAGCGAGATCCAGGAAAGACACAAAGCTACACAGAGAAACCCTGTCTCAGGAAAAAACAAAACAAAACAAAACAAAAAAAACCCTGCTGCCCCAATTTTGGGGAAAGCCCTTTTTAGCTCATAAGAACAGGCATGTTGTAAACACTAAGATGTGTTCCATGTTTTCCTTAAGTGATCTTTTATTTTCTGTACTTGTTTTCAGACTTTATCTTTCGAGTTGGCTGACAAAATCAAGGCCAAAATTATCTTAGCCAATGACCCGGATGCTGACAGACTCGCTGTGGCAGAAAAGCAAGACAGGTGAAATTAACTTTGTGTGTGTCATGAAAAATAGAACGCCGTCTTTAGCAATAATATGTTTCTGGGGAGGGTGAGTCCACGTGGGAGTTTTGCAGGTAATTACATTTGTTTTTACAACAAAACCCCTGGTGGTGGTGGGGGGGACAGTTTGCCGAGCCCAAGGGCAGGGGATCGTATCCTTGACTCGTGTAACATAGAACAAAGCACTCTGGTGTGCTGGGGATCGAAGTGACTCTACGTGACCCCCGCATTTTATAATTGAATTTAATATGGGAAGGTCTCCATGCCTGAGAAGGCAAAGCCCTTGTCACGAAGCTGGCTTTGCAGTCCATTTTCTGCCGGGGGACTTGGTAAAGCACTGGACCTTCAAGGCAGTCTTGAACTTAGGGGGAGCAGACAGGTGTTGACATAATGATTAGACAAGTCTCACCACGTGGTCTATGCAAAGCATATTAAAGAGTGTCTGGGGCCTTTCCAGACCACAGCTTGTCCAGGATGGAAATGCAAGCATCCTTGGCTGATACATAGAAGCGGCTCAGATGTTTGTGATGTGGCTGGTCCATTTCAGCTCAGTTATTTAAAGACTGGAACAGATTTATAGAAAGTGTGCCGAGCTTCATTTGCCTAGCTCTGGGGACTTCTGCGCCTTCCTGAAGGATGCTAAAATGAAGGGTTTGTTTCCTTCTAGTGGTGAGTGGAGAGTGTTCTCAGGCAATGAGCTGGGGGCCCTGCTGGGATGGTGGCTCTTCACTTCCTGGAAAGAAAAGAACCAAGATCGAAGTACCCTCAAAGACACATACATGCTGTCCAGCACCGTCTCCTCCAAAATCTTGCGGGCCATTGCCTTGAAGGAGGGCTTTCACTTCGAGGTAAGATGTTCGTGTGACTTTGAGTTCCCTGTTTCCTAAGACAATTTTTTCCCCTTTCTTTCGATTTTGTTTTTTGTTTTGTTTTGTTTTGTTTTTTTTGTTTTTTTTTTTTTACTATTTTGAGACAAGGTTTCATATAACCCAGACTGGCCTTAAACTTCATATACAGCCGAGGATGTCCTTGAACTTCTGGTCCTCCTGCCTCCACCTGACCAGAGCTAGGGTTACAGAGACGCACCACCACACCCAGTGTATGTGGTACTAGGGACTGAACCCAGGGCCAGACAAGCACTCTACCAATTGAGCTGCATCCCCAACACCAAAACAGTTCTTTTTTTCTTTTGGATTACCCCTTCAGGAGACATTAACTGGCTTCAAGTGGATGGGCAACAGAAGCAAACAGCTAGTAGACCAGGGGAAGACGGTCCTATTTGCATTCGAAGAAGCTATCGGTAAGAAGTGATAGTGAGATTCAGAGTATGTATGTTTATATAAGATATATAATAAACAAATGAGAGAAAGACTTGAATTTGAGCTCAGAAGAGCCCAGTAAAATGGGAGCACACAGTTTCGCTTGCTGCTCTTGTTTGGGTCAAGTGTCGAGAAACTACTCCCAAATTGGAATCTCATCTCTTTTTAACCAAAAAAAGAAGAGCATGCAAATAATTGGGCCAGCCACACATATCCGATGGTGGTGAGGGTCTGCACAGGGCTGGGCAGTGCAAGGGCCCCGCATTTGTGAAGCTGATTGTTAGGTCTCAAACCTGGCACACATGGGTAACCGGGGTGCCTGTTTAACACATCAAAGTGGACCTGACCACCAAGTTCTCCCAGCAACCCTCAGTCCCTACATGTTACGGGGTACATGCTCTGTCCCCTACCATAAACCTCTGCAGTCTAGGGGCTGGGCTGCCCTCCCCCCAGCTGCCCTTTCCTATATAATCCAGCCATTTTGGTTACTCACCTTTTTTGTCTATCCTCTCCTCTCCTGGCTCCACCCAGCCCCTAAGCCCCATCTCCTTACATGGCCTGGCTCAGGGCCGTGTTCACTCTGGACTCTCCCAAATGTCCCTGCCTCTGGCTACGCTCTCCCTCATGTCTACAATAAACTTTCTCCTCCACCATACCCAGGAGCGGTCATGTCCTTCCTTTCTGATTTCTTTCTTTTTTCCATTCACTGGTAAAGTCCACCCTCTTCCAGAAGTCTAATGAGGATGTGTGCTGAGTCTTCCCAGGGAGCAGAAGGCTGCTAAGTGGTCTCCTGTCCTCACAGTCATGGTCATAGGAGACGACACTGAAAGTTTGGCCGGAATTACTGAAAGGCCCTGATCCTCAACTGTCAATCCCGCCTGTCTAAGTGGAAAGGGAAGCTAGGCGTGGACATCGGCCGTTCTGTTGCTGGTGCACTAACTGTTGGCTTAGCAGTTAACTCAGTAGACTCCCTGACTTTATGTCCGTGTGTTCGTTAAAGCAGACCTTTCTTCAAACCCAGGACCTCCTGTGTGTAGACCAGATACCATAAGCACTGTGGTATGAACTCACGTTCACATTTAAATTCTCAAACACAAAGATAAATGAAAAACACTCCCTTAACCAACTCATTGCAGAGGGCTAGCCCAGAGGGCTGCTGCCTTTCAGAAGTCACGTTTTCAGAGTTGTGTTTCTATGGCTTTTGTTAAGGAGACATGTTCACCAGGTACTAATTGTAGATGTTACTCAGTGACTCCGAAATATGTGATAGTGACCTTAGCCTCCAGCAGCTCCAATTAGTAACCACGCCAAAGAGGGTAGGGGCCGGCTGTCAAGATGTGTCATGTAAGCCGGGTGGTGGTGGCGCACGCCTTTAATCCCAGCACTCCGGAGGCAGAGCCAGGCAGATCTGTGTGAGTTCAAGGCCAGCCTGGGCTACAGAGCGAGTTCCAGGAAAGGCACAAAGCTACACAGAGAAACCCTGTCTCGAAATACCAAAAAAGAAAAAAAGATGTGTCATGTAACTACCGAGAACCACCAGACTTCAGAGAAAAGTGGAAGACAGGTCTTGACCGAAATAAGTAGAACTAATTGCATCTGACCTGGAGCTATGATGGTGAGTCTGGTCAGTGAACACCCTTGCCAGCAGGGGAAATCTCCACACAGGCCATTCAACACAGGCTGCCCAAGGATGCTATATTCAAGACACTGGGCTAAATGGTTTTGTCTTGAAGACAAGATCTTACATGACTCAGACCAGCCTCCAACTCTATAGCCAGGGATAATGTTGATCACCTGATCCCCTGTCTCCATCTCCCATGAGCTAGCACACATCACCACTCCCGGCTCAGTGTAAGCTGATCACACTCTGGTCCACTGGGGGCTCAAACCCAGGACCTTCTATGTGTAGAGCAGATACGATAAGCATCGCGGTATGGAACCGCATTCACATCTAAATTCTCAAACACAAAGATAAATGGAAAAACACGTGTGTGCTCCAGACCAGACCCTAACATGTCATGGCCAACAAGCCTGCTCTCCGGCAGCTTGTTCTAGTGTGGTGCCAGAATCCACTGCTAAGGCTGCGTCTGCTGCTCTGTCTGCAGGGTACATGTGCTGCCCCTTTGTCCTGGACAAGGATGGAGTCAGTGCGGCTGTCATCAGTGCAGAGCTGGCGAGCTTTCTAGCGACCAAGAATTTGTCTTTGTCCCAGCAGCTGAAGGCCATCTATGTGGAGTAAGTGTCTACAGCAGTGATTTCCAACCTTCCTCACGCTGCGACCCTTTAATGCACTTCCTTATGTTGTGGCCCTTTAATGCACTTCTTCATGTTGTGGTGACCCCCAACCACAAAATTAGTTCATTGCTGCTTCTTAACTGTAATTTTGCTGCTGTTATGAATCAAAATGTAAATATCTGAAATGCAGGATATCTGATAGGTGACCCCCAAAGGGGTCATGACCCACGGGTGAGAACCACTGGTCTAGGACATTTGAAGGAATGTTGGCCATATTTCAAGGGCTCTTATTTTGGTGACGGTGTTCTGTTTCTTAGGAAAACCAAGATCACCTTTTCCATTTGATGTGTCCCCACAATTAGTAATGGCCATTTGCGGTTCCGTGGATTCTAACGCATGAGAACGTTGCACAAACGGCTTGATTGAAGAGGGTGACTTTAAGTAGTCAGTGTCATAAAAAGATTAAACACCTCGATATGGGGATCAGTCTTTGTACCACGCACTGAACTGTGCGGGTGTGGTGTGGAAGGTGAACAGGCGGCAGGAATGGTAACCCTGCAGCACGGCGGTGTTCTGGAAAGCCGTAACTTACCGAAGCAGGCTGATCTAGGGTAGATGACTGATTCATATTCTCACTGTGTGTGCGTGTTGTTCAGGGAACAACCTCAACTTTCCTTCCTCGGGCAGTGGCCTGTTCTGCCTTAGCCTGGAGTTTGACAAGTAGACATGGCTGCCTGGCCATCAAGCCCCAAAGATCCGCCTGTCTCTGTCTCCTGAGTGCTGGGACCATGAGCGTGCACCTCCATGCTCATCTTTTTTTTTTTTTATTTGGGTTCTGGGGATTGATTAATCAGATCCTCAGGCTTGGAAGGCAAGGATTTCACTGATTGAGCTGTCTCTTCTACTCTGGACTTCTTTTTTATTTTCTTTTTAAATTTGTTCACTTTGATTTCATGTGTGTGGGTGTTTTGACTGATGTGTCCGTGGACCATGTGTGTGCCCGGTACCCAGAGAGGCCAGGAGAGGCCATCGAATCCCCCTGAAATTGGTGCTGCAGATGGGTGTGAACTGCCATGAGGGTGCCGAGAATTGAACCTGGGTCCTCTGGAAAGAGCAACTTATGTTCTTAATCACTGAACTGTCTCTCCAGCCCCTTTTTCTTTTCTTTTCTTTTTTTAAAAACATTTATTTGTTTGTTTGTTTGTTGTGTGAGTATGTATACATGTGGGTGGGTGAACACATGCTACCAAACGCATATGTGGGGTCAGAGGACAACTGAGAAGGATTGTTTCTCTCCTACCGTGTAGGTTCTGAGGATCAACTCAGGTCATCAGGCTTGGCAGCAAGTGCCCTTACCCACTGAGCCGTCCTGCCAGAACCAACATCTTTTTTAATGTTAGATTATTCTTTTGAAGTTGGTTAGGGCAACCTGTTTCACTTATTCTACAACGTGCTAGCTGGTACATCTTGCATACAGTCTACAAAATTTTTGTGGCTTGTTTTTGCTTAAATTTATGGGGGATTTTTCTTTTCTTATAGGTATGGCTATCATATTACCAAAGCTTCATATTTTATCTGCCACGATCAAGGCACCATTCAAAAATTATTTGGAAACCTAAGAAACTACGATGGGAAGAGTAATTATCCCAGAACATGTGGCAGATTTGAAATCTCTGCTATCAGGGACCTTACAACCGGCTATGATGACAGTCAACCTGATAAGAAGGCTGTAAGTCATGTTTATTTGGGTCAGTGAATTTATTTTGTCTTTACCATTTCTACAATTTGAATAGATTCATTTAGTCACATGGTTGGTTGACGCTGACTTGGGCCACTTAAGTGTCATTGTAATAAAATACATGGAAAATTAGGGCTGGTGGTATATAGCTCAGGGGTAGACTGCTTGCCTATCATGGATTAGACCCCTAGCATTGAAAAACCGAATAAATAAATGAAATAAGCTATGTGGCCAAACTAGGAATCATGGGCGAGAATGCAAGTGACCTCACAGGTCATTTGGTGATAAATGACATCCAGAGCCATCCTTTCACATGCAAGGAAATTGTGACTCAGAAGGGCACTAACTGGTAAGGGTCCAGGTGGAGTTGAGACCTTTTGACTCTGGACCCCGCTTTTCCTCTCCATCAGCACATGTCACTCCAGAGAGTATCTGAGTCACACAGAGGGTGTGTGACTAACTGGTACTAGCTGGGTATGATGACACATACCAGTAAAACTTTATATCTCTACACTTGGGGGATCGAGGCAGGAACGTCAGAAGTCTGAGTCTGAGGCCAACCTGGACTATGTCATGATATCCTGTCACAAGCAAACAGTGCTGAAGGCCACCCTGGAGTTCTTCATTGAGTAGGTCTGAGATAAGGCCAAAGAGTTTGCACATCTAATAAGATTCAAGGTGACTAGACGCTGGTCAGCTCTGAGAGGGCCTCTTGTTTTCTGAGGAGTCTGGCCTTGTTCTCTGACTGCGTGTGGCCTGTTCACTGTTGACTGCATGTGGCCTGTTCACTGTTGACTGCATGTGGCCTGCTCACTGTTGACTTCGTGTGGCCTGTTCACTGTTGACTGCATGTGGCCTGTTCACTGTTGACTGCATATGGCCTGTTCACTGTTGACTGCATGTGGTCTGTTCACTGTTGACTGCATATGGCCTGTTCACTGTTGACTGCATGTGGCCTGTTCACTGTTGACTTTGTGTGGCCTGTTTACTGTTGACTGCATGTGGCCTGTTCACTGTTGACTGCATGTGGCCTGTTCACTGTAAACCCTATGTTTGCATTAGGATCTCTCTTAGAACCAGAGGTAGCAGAGGTGTAGGGCTGGCTGTGTCCAGTTTAGGAGAAGAGCAGGAATAGCCCAGTGAGCCATTAGATGTCCTCCTTGATATTTACCTTTTTGTGTTTTGTTTTAAATTTTTCATATGAACACAATATATTTTTTTAAAGATTTTTTTATTTATTATGTATAGTGTTCTGCCTGCATATATCCCTGAAGGCCAGAAGAGGGCACCAGATCTCATTACAGATGGTTGTGAGCCACCATGTGGTTGCTGGGAATTGAACTCAGGACCTCTGGGAGAGCAGTCGGTGCTCTTAACCACTGAGCCATCTCCCCAGCTCCCGAACACAATATATTTATAAGAGATAAATTACATTAAAATGATTATGGTGAAGTATGACACCTTACAGCCATACTGAGACAACCAACCAACTTTCTTCTCAATGGTTTCTCCTGGTGTTGGCCAGAGAACTTTTCTCTCTCTCGTGTAGATAAAGAATCCATGCATACACTTCCTGCATTCACTAGCCCCGGCCTGTCCTCATGAATCACATCCGAGCCTTGAGTACAAGCCTGAACTATCGGCTAAGCATTTATAATTCATGTTCAGCCTCTGAGTCGGTTATTTGGGACTGGGCAGTCCCAGGACAGGAAAGGTCCATTTACATTGCTCCATTATTGTTCAGTGTCCAAGCACTGTGTTCGGCATCTGCTCCTCTATCTAGTGAAGAATGGAGTCCATGTGTGATGCCTTCGAGGAAATTAACACCATACTCACTCATCATTTCTTTGCAACTGAGTTTGTTTGCTCAATGAGAAAAATCTCTCTCTCAACTCAATGTTCAATTTCAATGTGTTGGTTAGCATTTCTCTTTGTTCAGTGTTGGGGTTACTTATTAGATGCGTCAGACTTTTTGGTACTTGCAACAAAATACCTGAGAGAAGCGGTCTAAATGAAGAAAGGTTTATTGGGACGCATTGTTTTGGTCAATGGTCATGTGGCTCCACTTCTCTTAAGCGCAGTGGCAGTGTAGAAATCTTGACAGAAGGAAGGAAGGAATCTCTTCACTCTGCTCCTTACAGACAGGAAGCAGGAAGAATACAGCGAGAGGCCAGGCTCAAGTTGTACCTTCAAAGACAGGCTCCCAGAGACCCCCTTCCTCCAAGTAGGCCCCACCTTCCACAGTTCCACGCCTTCTCAGGGCTCCACTAAAAGTCTGCATTATCAGTGCATAAACCATTGATTAGGTCAGAGTCTTTATGATCTAACTTTATCTGGAAATGCCCTCGCAGACATAGCCAGAGTGTGCTGTACTTTTCCTAGTCACGGCTTAGTCCAATCAAGTCAGCCATCACGGTGGGTCTCTCGGTCTGTGGCATCATTTTCTTCGGGTGTCTGTTTCCTTGGCGATGTGTCCAGGAAGGGGGGAGGTGCTTGTCTGTTTCCTTGAAGAGGTCCTAGGTAGACGCTGGCTCTCCAGGATGGATACCCTTCCCTCTTTGTTTCTTCTTGTCCCGCTCTACTCCTTTTTCGAGGGGTTTTTCTCAACTTGTAACTTTTAGTGTTCCTGTTGACTGTTCAAGTCTTACTCTAACTTTTTTTCCAGAATGACATGCTATTATTGTTTTTGTATACTCTACCTTCCTAAAGATTCTTTTTAAAAACTAAGAGTATTTTTTCCATCCCTATATCCTTTACTGCCCCTGACTTTGGCTTTTTGTTGTTTATTTTTTGATTTTCCTATTTGTTTCGGACTTGTTACTTACCCACTGTCCTTCCCTAGGGGTCCCCCAGCATCCTTTGCATACTTAACTTCTTATAAGTCCTGTGTGCGTATGACAAATGACCTAATGCACTTCTGGGGATCTTAAGTAGCAAGACAGCTAATCTAAGATTGACCTTCATTTTGGAGCTACTGAGCTGGTTCAGAGCCTAACTCTAACTGGTTTCCTGAGGGACATAAATTGTCTTGTCAAGGTCCTAGAGGTGTGGCTAGGGGCAGGTCTGGGATGTCTCAGTGTGTTCCATCATATCGTACACTCCATGGTACCTGGTGATCCTAGTTTCTGAGCCTTTTTAGTTCAAACTCCAGGGACCTTAGGCATTCCTTGCAGGCAGAGAAGAGCTGGAGCTCCTGACTCCCGAAGCGAGGAGGGAATGTCTTGGAGCATCTGGTAGTTTCTCTTCAATCCTGTTTCTGTTTCATCCCTGCCTTACCCCAGTCCTTGGCATACCTGGTACTTCTAATTCTTGAGCCCAGTTGGACTTCTGCAGAGCACAGTGTCTCTGTTTCCTGTTTCTGTCTCCCCCTCAGGTTCTGGGACCCCGTGGTCACATGTTTCATCACACCATTTCTGAATCTTTATCTGTTTCCTGTCTTCCACGACTGAGTGACTGCCTGCTCAAGTGTTACCGTTTCTCTTCCTCTGTGCCCTTGTGTTTATGCCTGTGAAACGTATCTACGGGGAACTTTAGTGATGTTCTGACGTTAACAATTATAAATACAGCTGTCACAGCTTTGTACCAGAAAACAAACAAACAAACAAAGACTCCTTATGAACCCCTTTTGGCCAAAATTTCAGTTTACAACATTGAGGTATGATCTAATTTTCTGTAGTACATTATTAAGCTGAAATAATGTGTTTTAATTTGAACGAAAGCTTGATAATGTCTAATAAATTTATGGAAGTAGAAAGCTAGTCTGTGAGGTTACTAAGTGGTCACACATTACTAGGAATCACATTCTCTGATTTTTCTGAGGAATGTCTTTGTAGCCAATGTACTCGTCTGGTATTAATTTTCTTGCTTATTTGGGACAGTATTCACTGGGTCAGAATAGCTTGTGACTGTTTAAGTGTGTGACATGTACAAATTAATCTCTAGGTTCTTCCTACCAGTAAGAGCAGCCAAATGATCACCTTTACCTTTGCTAATGGAGGTGTGGCGACCATGCGGACCAGCGGGACAGAGCCCAAAATCAAGTACTATGCCGAGCTGTGTGCTCCCCCTGGCAACAGGTATGACGTGGATGGTAGCTGCTGTGACTCTAATTCCTGAGATGTCCGGGTTCTCATCAAGTGTGAAGTAAAAATTCTCATGTGTACCTTAGTTAGAAACTGTGGTGATAGCATGTTATCAAAGACTCCTTAAAAATGAAAAAAAAAAAAAATAGCCGAGTGGTGGCGGCGCACGCCTTTAATCCCAGCACTGGGAGGCAGAGCCAGGCGGATCTCTGAGTTCGAGGCCAGCCTGGGCTACCAAGTGAGTTCCAGGAAAGGCGCAAAGCTACACAGAGAAACCCTGTCTCAACCCCCCACCCCCAAAAAATTAAAAAAATAGCTGGCGTGGTGGTACACACCTTTAATCCCAGCACTCAGGAGGCAGAGGCAGGCGGATCTCTATAAATTCAAGGCCAGTCTGGTCTACAAAGTGAGTTCTAGGCCAGCCAGGGATACATAGCGAAATTCTGTCTTGAAAAAGCAAAAAAGAAAAAAAAAATGAAAAAAATAAAATAAATTTATAATTTTTTTTAAAGAGGGGTGGGGGGTTAACAGTGATTCTTAAACTTGGCTACACATAATCTGGAGAGTTTTCTAAACCTGATATCTAGGTCTTACCAGTATGTTCTGATTTTTAATTATAATGGGGTATGACCTGGGAGTCAAGGTTTTGTTTTTGTTTTTTGTTTTCTTTTAAGATTTTCTTTTCTTTTTTTAAATTATGTATATGGAGGAAGGGGCAGGCTGCAGGTACCCTTGAGGGCCAGAAGCATGGGATCCCTGGAGCTGGTGTTACAGATGCCAGCTGCCCTGTGTGGGACTAGAAACTAAATTCTGACCCTCTGCTAGAGTGATGCACTCTTAAAAAATTTTTTTAATTAAAACACACACACCAAACACACAAAAAAACCTCTTGAGCTGGAGAGCTAGCTCAGTGGTTAAGAGCGCTTGCTGCTCTTCCAGAAAACCCGAGTTTGGATTCCTAACACCCATGTCCATATCGAGCAGCTCACAACTGCCTTTAACACCAACTCCAGAGGATCTGATGTCCTCTTCTGGACTTCATGGACACCTACATACATGTGACAGATAAATACGTACACATAAATAAAAAACTTGTAAATAAACCTTCAAAAAACAAACAAACAAAAAAACCCTTCATGAGTCTCCACAGGTAAGCAGGCTCATATTTTTCAACTCTTCTACCTCTCTGTATGGGAAAATGACATTCCTCATCTTACTGATAACAACAAAACTTCCTTTCTCCATTTTTTATTGGTGATTAGTGATGGTTTTAAAAATGATAAGTGGCACTGGTTACCGGCCCTGGTTACCTCGTGGTAACAACAAGACCCAGTATCAGAGCTTTATTAGGAGGAGGGAAGGCAGATGTGCAGAGAGACAGAGACAGAGACAGAAAAGAGATGTGGGGGGAGAGAGAATAGAGAAGGCAGGAGGGAGGTCTGTGTCTGGCTTTTTAAGGAGCAGGTGGGCTTACAGAGCTACGCCAGGCATGCGCTGTTGGCGTGACCATGCCATGCGAACATAGTCACCAGCACACACTAATGACTAAGACACAAGACCGCTTGCCTAGCTCCTGAACTGTGCATGTGCAGTCATGCAGCTGGAACAAGGGCAGAATCCTAACAATTAGTGCCAATGGATTGTCCTCTTTTACTCCTGTGATAAAATTAATTAAAATCCATTCCACATGTACTCAGTAAATACCTGAGTGTCTGCTCCGGTCTGAGCTGGGTCACAGGGCAGAGAAGGAACCAGATCAAAAATCATGCTGGCTCACCTGGAGATGGTGGACTGGATGCTCCAACCTATGCCTATGACCTCAGCACACAGTTGAGTTGGGAGTCATTGCATTGTTTTGAACTTGATATCCCTTGGTGCACATCCTTAGCACATGTAAATGCCATAAGCCATAGCTAATTGGTGCTGAGGTATTTCTTTGACCAGGATGTGGCTGAGGACCAGGACAGTGCCTTTAAAGGTGAATGTAGCCAGTGCTTTGGTAGAAACTATACATAAAGCCATGGCCACAGTTTAAGAATGTCTACCAACCACATTTGAAAAGCTTAAAAAGAGACTGATGAGATGAATTCCAGTATTTTATTTCATTAACATGAAATAGTACATCCCCCCAAATACTATCATTACAACATAGAATCCGTGTAAGAAAAAAGGTAGCGAAATAGCTTCCATTATCTTTTAAAGAATTTTAAGCTTCCAAATATACACTAAACATATTCACACAGCATATCTCAAAAAAATTCAAATGGTACAGTTTTATGGAACTAAACATAGTTTTAAAATTTGATATTTTGAAAAAAAAATTGATATTTTGTGCAAAATTTTAACCTATAGGCAAACAGAAAGCAGCTCATTTTTTAAAGAATTCTAGGTTGTCAGTATTCCATTCCTAGTGTTCAAGTATCAATGTTTTTATATGGTTAAGTAATGAGTTGTTTGCACTATATTGAGGCGGGTTTTCCATGGTTGTCTCTGTTATTTCATCCCCACTTACCATATTTTGTTGCATGATTCTTCCAAAAGCCCTTTTCTCTTTTAATAGCCTGTGAAATGTACATAATGTTTCAGAGTAGTTTTCCTTATAATAACAGTAATACTGTTTACATGTCAGACTCTGTGCTTTTCACACTATCATGTCACTTTTTTTTTTTTTTTTGGTTTTTCGAGACAGGGTTTCTCTGTGTAGCTTTGCGCCTTTCCTGAACTCACTTGGTAGCCCAGGCTGGCCTCGAACTCATAAAGATCCACCTGCCTCTGCCTCCCGAGTGCTGGGATTAAAGGCGTGCGCCACCACCGCCCGGCTCATGTCACTTTTTAGAATAGACTTCATTTCAGACCTTTATAAATTGGGGTGAGCTTTTAAAAACTGTCCTTGTGTTAAAAATCAGTGACAGGTGGCTCCGATTTATTAAAGGGACATTGGGTTCTAGGTTGGGCATAATGTCACAGCTCAACGGGACATCAGCCTACTAACATGCAACAGCAATAAAAACACAGCTAAGATAAGCTTAAATATCAACAGACTTCATACCATGCATTTCATTTATTAATAGAATCATCTAACTTATGAATTGGTTAGAATCAAAAGGCCTTTCAAGTCTAGGTTCTGCTATTTAAAAATTATTTTTTTGGAGATTTTTTTCCCAACTGAAATGATAATTCACTGAGTCCTCGTGTTCTTCACCCAGGCCACAGGTTGGCAAGTGTGTATGGACAGAGAGCTAATGTCTTAGTGTTTGCAGGCCCTGGGATTCTGTTGCAACTACTCAGCTCTCCTGTTGAAGTGTAGAAACAGCCATATATCTACCAATGAATGGACATACTGTGTCCCAATAAAACTTTATTCACAAAAACAGACCATTAGTTCCTGGTTGTTTTCAAACAGTTGTGTCAGAGAAGCAGAGCCAGTGGACTGCGTAGAAGGGGAGAGAGGTTGGTGGGAGTGAGGTCACGTGACAGTGCACGTGCCGGTGGGGAGGCAGGCTGGAGTTCTTAGGCGTGGGGTGAAGTTGTAGATGTGGATTAAATTCCTCAGGAAAAAATGTCCTTTTGAATCTTAATTGCCTTGATTTAAAGTGAACTATTTGTAAGTGGCTGTCCCATCTCCATAATCCTTTCAGAGCAGCACCAAAATTTGAAAAACCAGGGATGGTTTGTAAGCCTCGCCTGGTCAACGTGAATTCAGACATGCCCCAAAGTCCTCAAAATAGCTGTTGTTGTTTTTTCCCCAATTCAGAATTTCATTGAGAAATCGGATTACTTCGGTTGTCATTTATTTTACATTGTTTTTTGGCATGGTCAGAGAGACAGAGAGATGCCACTGACTGACTATGAGAGACACTTCAATATCCATTTCCATAAAGTGACCCACTGAATTTAAACTTAGGAAATAAGGATTCCTAACCCAAGTTTATATCGCCAGGCAGCGTGTCCTTGTTTTTAAGATATAAAATATTATTCTACAATGTCACACTTGAAGTGTCAAAATGGATCATTTAGGATTAAGATGGGTAATATTAAGATCAAACTGTATTTTTAATGATTATTACATCACCAAATCCTATGGAGTGGTAAGAGGGCCCCCCACACACATTAAACATGCAACTTGGGAACATTAACTCAATAAGTGAAGGAATCAATATATAAATGTGTCTTAGGAACTAAAAGATTTATAAGGAAGTTAGTAATTGGCAAATTCACTGAGTTTGAGTTTTACACTTTGCTTTTAACTAATTATGACCATATTTGCCTTCCTGAGAGTTATTTTCTTCAAGGCACATTTGTGGAGGACAAAGAGACCAGTGTAATTCACATGCATGTATGAGTCATAATTACTGTACATGTTGTTAATAGGAATAAAAATAACTATAATGATAGCTCTTTTTATTGAGATCTTTGGGCTGGGCTCTGGACTAATTGCTTTATACAGTATATCTCACTGTGTACAATAACACTCTTGAGAAGGGAAAGTCTTTATTCCAATTTTACAGATGAAGAATATGGGTCTTAGAGAGCCCAAGCCACTTGCCCAAAGGTACATAATTGATAGAGCCAGAATTAATGTCTGCAATGAAATCGGTTGCCTTTATTAATATTATTGCCAGTTGCAATATCAAAATGATCTTAACTGATTGCAGGAATTGTCATTTCCTTTCGGATAAACTGCATGTAAGTGTTGCAGGTGGTCAAGAATGAAGTAATAGAAAGTGTGTGAAGGGTTAATTTCCAAATCCAACTGTATGGTAGCACACATAAGACTGTCTAAGCTGCTAGAAATCCGTTTCACTGGGAGTTAGGCTTATGTATTGTTTTCACTCATGGACCTGGTGTATACAAATAAGTGCTTCCTACATGCTTGAAAACTCGGCTTTCTTTCTTTTCTTTTCTTTTTTTTTTTAATTTTAAAATTTTTTTAAAAAGATCTATTTACTATGTATACAGTGTTCTGGCATGTATGCCTACACACCAGAAGGGGGCACCAGATCTCATTGTAGATGGTTGTAAGCCACCATGTGGTTGCTGGGAATTGAACTCACAACCTCTGGAAGAACAACCAGTGCTCTTAACCTCTAAGCACTCTTGCCAGCCTGAAAAACTTGGCTTTCTTAAAGGGATCAGTTCCCCTAGATTTTTGTTTATCTTTTAGCTGTGTTTTTTTGTTTGGTTGGTTTTTGTTATTTTGTTTTGTTTTGGTTGTGGTGATAGAGCAATAAACATTCAACACCATGGCTCCCATTTCCTACCTGTTAGAAAGAAAAAGAAAAAGACCACCACCCCAACTGAAGCAACTGCAGGGCAAATTTGACCCTTGATCATGAGGGTGAACTCAGAAGAGCAAGCATAGGGAGACTGGAAGTGTGACTGTCTTCTCCCCCTAGGCTGGAGTCTGGCTAGTTTTAAAAGAATGGGCACAAAGGAGATAAGGGAAGGGGAAGAGTTAGCTGCTTAATTCACTTAAGCAGGGAATGCTGTAGGACTTTGTGTAAACAAGGGTTTTACTGCATAGGGTAAGGCATTAAGATATTTGCAGAAAGGTTTTCCAAGGTGTGTGTGTGTGTGTGTGTGTGTGTGTGTGTGTGTGTGTGTGTGTGTATTTGTCTGTCTGTAAAGATTTGAATTCCTTGTTAAACACAAGTTTTAAAGTATTTGATTGAAAGACATGTAGTTGGCTGGGCGGTGGTGGCACACGACTTTAATCCCAGCACTCAGGAGGCAGAGCCAGGTGGATCTCTGTGAGTTCGAGGCCAGCCCGGTCTACAAAGCAAGATCCAGGGCAGGCACCAAAACTACACAGAGAAACCTTGTCTTGAAAAAAAAAACAAAAAAACAAAAAAGAGAGAGAGAG